AAAATAGCAATGCTAATCAAGTTAGGTAACATATTGGTCATTTGGTACTCTGTTCTTTGATGATTGTTAGAAGAATAAGTATAAAAATAGGAAAATCCAAAAACAAATGTAATTGGATTGGAGTAAAAATATAAAGAAAAAGAAAAAAGAAAACCATAAAGGAAAGGAAAAAGAAACCATGGGCAAAGAGTAAAAGTGCATCAGAGCAACTTGTAAGTTTTTAAAATTTGATCTAATATATATATTTAGGCATTGCCTAAAAGCTTAGCTCCTAACAACACAGGTAGCACAATTTAGATACGATTTTATAAGAAAATAAAATCTGGCAAAAAATCTTCAATTTTTTCTCTCCATCGAGATGAAGATAATGTCCCCCATAACGAAAACCATGAAGTGAATAAATAAAATCGAAATGCACTACATTGTTTTCTTCACACRGGTCTTTGTTTTTTAGACCTTAGTACTCTCCCACTTAGGAATTTTGTCACATGTACACAAACCCACCAACCACCCCAGGGGCTAGTTTTGGTCTTGAAAAATTCTTCTACAATGTTTTGCATGGCCGACATTCTTACGCTTTGAATTCCTGTTTAATTTTACTTGAAAAACGAAAGATAACTACAAACAAATAAAATAAAATGTCAAGTTTAGTGAAATTTAACTTTAGATGTCTTTCACTAAAATCCAAATTTTGGAGATTTCCTAACTTTTTATGGACAAGGTCATAAGACAGACTAGAAAACTCCTTAAGAAAAGGTGAGCAACATATAAGCTTACTTTTACATTTTAAAAAAAAAATTTTTATTTAAACATATTTGACTAAACATTTGCCCCAAAAGCTGTAAAGCTGTACTTATACTTCTTTTACATGACAATGTTTGGTTATCCATATCACAGGTAGCCCAAGCTTGGTTTCTGTGGTGTCCTGCTATAAAGAAATGTATGGAGATTCATCAAAAATTTCAATAAAATCATTGAAACGTGAAATAAAGCCTCAAAATTTTACCCGATCATTGAGAAATAGCACTTCTTTCGCTCTGTGTGGTTTTTTTTWAAATTTAGCTTGGAGCTCACTGTACACCAGTTCAACGGATTTCTTTCGGCAATCCACCCGAGGTCACACCGGAAGTCTTCATATCGTAAATGCGGGTTGGATTTGGATATAGTCTTTCTTCGAAATTATGGTGACTGTATTTTTTAACGGCCTAAGATACAAAAGTATTTAACTTATAATTTATAACTTTATAATCTTTCTTTGAAATTATGGTGAGTGTATTTTTTAACGGCCTAAGATACAAAAGTATTGCTTCCGGCGTGACCTCGGGTCGGTTGCCGAAAGAAATCCGTTGAACTGGTGTACAGTGAGCTCCAAGTACGGGTCAGAACAAGCGAGGTAGTATGTGAATACAGGCAAATTTCATGGCTTAAAGACGCGAAGATTAATCTCTAATGTGACTTTCTCGGTTCTATAGGGATGTGAGAGAAGGGTCATGACTAAAATGTGGCGCTGGAAAGAAAATTCGAAGACATACGAGGTTTCAAAGACCCGTGATGGTTCGCTTTTGGGACTCGAGTTTCCAACCTTCTCTTATTTCTTACTGGTGGGGAAAAAAATCTTAAAACGGGCTAAACTCAAAAAATAACCACGCAGAGCGAAAGAAGTGCTATTAATTCTCAATGATCGGGTAAAATTTCGAGGCTTTAGTTCACGTTTTAATGATTTTATTGAAATTTTTGATGAATCTCCATACATTTCCTATAACAGGACACCACAGAAACCAAGCTTGGGCTACCTGTGTCCATATGAAGAGTTTATGAAGAACCGTATTTTTACCGCAATGAAATTAAGAAAATAAATGTTAAAAAACCAAATATTATTATGTCATCAGTTAAAAAATAGCTTTCTTATCCTAATTCTACATAAAAAATTAAAAATATTTTTATTTTTATTCCTTTCATATAAGCCTTAACTACTTTTTGATAAGCTTGAAAACTTATAACTTACTAGATTTTGAGATTCGATTTTAGCTGTTTTCATCTGTTTTCATGCTTGAGAAAGATACGGAATTCACGAATCATAAAAGTTTTCGAAAAACAAAGTTTACATTCAGTTAAACTTGACAAGAACAACTGAGACAAAATAGAAAATAATGCAAAATGCAATGTCAAACACAAAATGACGAATTTCTTTGTCAGTAAATTGGCATTTGTAAATGTGTTTGAATATTTTTAGCTTTTTAAAGTGAAACAGGGTCTTATACAATTAACACCTCTCAGCAACACAAATTTAAGCTCATTTGAATAATCATACAAGCTTGAACAGTTTAAACAGTTGAATATTTGGTTTAATTTTATTCAATAGAGTGATGGGACTTAATCCACGTGAAATAAAAACAAAATAGTTATTTAACTAATAGTCGCAATTTAGTGCCTATTTAGTCGATATCACTCAAGTGAATCAATCTATATATGAATACACAGGAGACATCAAATACACAAGAAACATGTTAGTCATTGATAGTCATAGCATTGGAAGCCATGAAAAATCAACTTGATGGTTAACCATTTTTTCTTAAGTATGGTGCTCCGCTCCCGCGGAAGCTCCGCTATTATTACTTTTTTAAAACCTGAAAGCGGCATGTCTCCTCATACATGTATACTGTATGTGTTAACCTGCATGAGTATTCTCTTACATTGACTTGAATTTCCTACTTATGGCTTTCAGTGCTTGCTTAAGATCATAAGGTTTAATAGTGTGGCTTAAATTTGAAGCTTGGTTGAATAAATGTCAAAAATGTAGACGAAATACAATATATTATTAAGTTGTTGTTCAAGTTTTATAAAATATGGATATTAAATGTATAGCCAAAATTCATTAAATTCATTTTCCATATTCCAAATTTTGTAAAATAAATGCTAGGTTTTGTGGCAAAAAATTATATCACAATTTGATTACTGCAGATGGCATAAAGATTCTTTTTAATAGTAGGACTTGGCTTTTCTTTTTTTTTTTTTCCCGAAAAGGAATCACGGTTGGCACAAATGGGGTCAAAACCAATCAGATAAAATTTGTCATTTTTAAACAAATCCGTCATATTTTCAAAAATATTCCATCTAATGAAATGAAATTTTCAGAGTGTATTGATTAAGGGTAGAGTATCATTTTGGTTTATTCATTGTCAAAAATGGATGTCATTATAATGTCATAATGAAATGTTACATTTTTCATTAAAAAAGTTTAAGCACTGATTTAAAACAAAATACAGAATTTGAAAGGCAATAACATTCCCCATGTAATATGTTACAGCTTGCATAAATTTTTGATTATTAGGATCAGAGTTATTGAGGAATTAGTTTTTTGATGATGTCATAGGCGGTGATGTCACTGAAAAATGTAAAAAGCGATTTTACAGCACCAGAAGAAGCAAAGTGAACTTCTAAATGTTTATTGCTGTTATATAAGCTGTGCCACTTCAGTAAAATGCTAATTTATTTGGTATAGAGATATTTTAAAATATCTGTGATGTCATTGTCAGTCTTAGCATTATCATAAAAAATATTTTAAACTATTTCTCCTAAAAAAAATCAAAATTCTAAAAACACTTTGGGCAATTCTTATTACTTTTAATATTGAAAGTATGATGGCAAAATGTTAGCAAACAAAAAAGTAGTTTAATTTGAAGAAGTTTGTTTTTGCTAATGGTTTTGTATGTATCATTTCCCGCCAATTTTTCATGGGAAAATTGGAAACTAAAAAAGATTTCATAATTCTACTTATTACATCCATTTTGAAATCACAAGCAAATCCTGCAATCTGATTGGTTACCTGCAGCAGTGATTTCAGCCTAAATTGCACGATTTTGARCTCTAAATTGCACGATTTTGCACATCATCTGATATGAACCAATCACAAGAGAGACATGTCATTTTCCAGCCAATTATATTAAGTAATCCATTTGAGTGTTGAGCTCGCCGCTTCTTGCGAAAAAAATAAGCCACGGCTTTTTTCTGAAAAACGATCTTACCGTAAAAAGTCGTAAAAAAAGACTTAAAAAGCYGTAAAAAGGACTTAAAAAGACCAACTGAGCACTTAAAATTGTCAAAAGCATCTTTGTAAAGTAACTGCTTAAGTAAGTTGAAGATATTACAGCCAAAAACAGTGGGGAAAACAATCGGCATCTTTTGAATGTGACGTCTTGGCGATTGATCGTGGAAAGTGGTTTCCTTTTCAATCTTTACATAACGCATAAAACACATTGAAAATATACAGTCATTAAAAGAAGTTTTTCTTAAGAAGAAGATTTTTGCTGAGCTACGTGACTTAAGGAAAACCAAAGGACTAAACAACCTTTGATTTTTGCTGTTTTCTCGGCACAAGTGTGATCTTAACATGTTGAACAGATTCRTAAAATACAAGCAGTTAGCATTGGCTGTATGAACAACAGCCAGTTCATTACAACCCTTTTGGGCAGGGTTGTCTTGCTATTTAATGTAAGTAAATGATGCTTAATACATGTAACTTTTAGTCCTATATAAATTCATTTTAGTTTTGGATTGAAAGTGTTGGTTTTCAAAATGAGAATCATTGTTTGATCAGTATAAACAAGTTCTCTAGACAGCATGTTTGAATTGACTGCTTGTAGATTGTAAGTCATATGTCGGTTTGAGTGGAAAAAAACGTCTCAAAAAAGATTTCAAAATGCATGGATATAAAAAAGTGGTAATTGAACTTCGTATTGCGCAATTTTGGTCTGAAATCAAACTTGCAATTACGAATCGCACKMCCGCKWMGCRGKMGTGCGATTTTGTAATCGCGAGTTTGATTTCAGACCAAATTGCACTCCACTCACATCAATTACCATTATTAACCCTTTTCCAAATTTCAAAATGGTTTTCGATTTAAATATTGTAATCAAGAGGGGAACAATATAAAATGAATTTTTACATTAAGGTTTTCTAAAAATTCAACAAGGATCACGTTTAGGGTCATTATGTCATTTTCTGAATGATCATGCAAAATAGCAAAAATTACTGTATAATAATCAAGTTTAATTAGCTTATTACGTACCCTATCAGTGTGACCTCTGGTGGATGCCAAGATCTTTCCCTTTTTCCAGTCCCATACAACAACCATATGATAGTCCTCAAGACCAACTGATACAAGTTGCTAGAGATGAAGAAGAAGGCAAAAGTAATTATTTTTTTAATGTTAAATTGTAAATAAAAAATAATGGCCAATACCTTAATTTTGCTATCTCTTTTTATTGCAGAGATATTCAATTGGCCATGACACATTGTGGACATTACATTTTTAAAGTAATTTAAAGATGCCATTTTTTAGTTTGTAATACATGTAGCTATTGTGTTGGAAGTGACGTAAACAGTACCTCAGACGTTCCTCATTAAATAAGCTTAATTAAAAAAAGGCAAATTTCTATCTTGAAGGCTGTTAAATACTTTTTTAAAGCTTGTTTTAGACATAAAAGAAAGACAACCAAATGTTTGATTCATCCTTTTAAAAGCTCGATTCCTGTGAATATTAAAAGTTGCTTAAAGTAAGCAAATATACATGTATTTTCTTACATTGTTAGGGACTAACATTGTCTGCCTAATAATGTAAAAAAAAGATGATTATAATTTGGGATTGTGAGTGTGAAACAATGTGTTGCAGACATTACATGGAAATTAAAATACTGTTGTGCACAGACATTATTACAATCTGGATTGTTGCCTTAAAATTCAAGTTTAAAGTTGATCTATTATAGTAGTAAAGAAGATACTATGTACTGTAGTGATATTCAGATACATCACCAGTTTTAGATTACAGTGAGTTTCTTGGTGTTTATCGTTGATTTAGATATGTCAGTAGTGTAACCAAAGGAAGCCCAATCAATGAAGTTATAATATGACTTTAAAATAAATGTACATTTTTATGCCAAATACATGTTCTCCCTTTTCCGACAAAAAATCTTCTTATCTTAAAGGCTTTTGGCCTTTTTTGTGGGTTTTTTACTTGCCCAGGGTAAAATACATTTAATGTACTGGTATGTTATTTGTCTCTTATGTTATTTTAGCTACATTTATATTCACATAAGACTTATATGGTATGAATTTTAAGCAGTTCCATGTAAACTGAGCATAATGTGAGAAAAAAGATCAATTGCTTGAGAATTTTTTTTTCTAAAGCAAGATTAACTTATCAGGCAGTAAAACATTGAATGATGTGTTTTGAACAAAAAATGTGCAAAATGTTTTTTGAATATAGGGTGTATTCTCATTTTTATGCTTGTGTAATGCCTGTACAACAGTAAAGTCCAGAACACATTTTCCTAGGTTTTGCAATTAGTTTTTWAAAAAATGAATTGACTAAAATGTTGGTCTTGACAATCAAAAAGAGAATTATGACTGTCTTGTATGAGATACATGTATTAAAAATATACCGGAAATTTAAAAAAAAAGCCTTATTTGTGCTGAGATTATGTAATGTCCGCAGCACATATTTAGCATTATATTTATTCATTTCGTAAAGAATTCTGTACAATATGAGAACATACATCATGAGTTTACTAAGCCGTTTAATAAACTCGTAGATTGTGTTTTATCGGGTCTAAAACCACTCGGCTACGGCTCGTGCTTTATACCCGATAAAACACTCTTGCTCGTTTATTAAACATTACTTATAGAAAATGCTTCCCCCTAGATTAGGTGTCGTCAATATTCAAGCAACCCAATATTTTTGTGGTTATTAGAATTTAAGATGCGCTAGCCACATTCCTATCGAATTGAGTGACTGAGTGTAACAATAGAATGACGAAGTCTACCAATCTTGTTGGTTTCGGAGTATCTTCGATAATCATTTCATTGTTTATCTCAACATTAAATCCTTGTTATATGCTGTATTGGTGAATTAAGAAATAAAAATTTTTTTGTTTTTCAACTACAGTGCACCCACTCATACACCGTTAAATTTTTTATATGGTTCAACCTTCCTGCATTTCATTTCCAAAACATTTGAGGAAAAATAAGGGGTTTGAGTTTTTAAAAAAATGTCTCATGTGGAAATCATAAAATGATGACGTCAACCCAGGCTCCTTAACAAAATTAAAATCATCAAATAGGGAATTCATATCTCTTTGAGAATCAGCTTAAAATCACTGAAACCTTGGTGGTCATAGCATATGCTACAGTATAACCAACATAAGATTCAGGCATTTTGAACTTATTTCTTACGGAGATATTCACGTTTTTATAATTTTTTGCAAGAGAAACATATTTCCATTAAGTCATGAATTCAAAATACCCATCAACATGCCAACACTGGACATTAATTACGTAATTAAGGTGTCTGTTGCAATCAAAAGCCCTACGTACACAGCTTAAATACAGATGGAGAAAAACTAATAGGGTAGCAAGCTGCTATACGTGAGAAGGATTGACAAATTAATTATATGCCTAGGTTAAGTGACAAATAAAAATTATGGGGCTTGCACCTACTTCTGACTCAGACATTATCATCTGACCATAYGTACAGTACATTATATCAAGGAATTATGATTAACAAACTTACATTTCCAGCATTATTAAAAGCCAAACACGTAACTCCCCTCTGATGTGCATCTTTTAAGATTGAGACAGTTTCTGTGGTCCTAGAATCCCATACACATATGTATGGCTCTTTACCAACTTGACCAGTTGCTACAAAAATCTTCTCTGGGTGGAGTGCAAGACTTGCAAGAAAAAAAGGAAAAAAGCCATGTAATATGTTATTACAAAGTACAAAAATTAAGAATTAGACATTGCATGAAATTCAGTTGGGATAATACATGATTGTACTGCACGCAAATATAGAAATAATTAAAGTTTGAAGGTTTATTGTAGAATATATGCTAAATATTCCACTCATCTGAAATATTATATATATATATATATATACACTTGATTGCAGAAACATTGTAGTATACATTTATAGAAATATCTAATTTATTCAGTATATTCAGTATATTTCATGATATGCAAAACGGAAAAATCGCTTTATTTATTGTTTGTTTCATGAATGACTGTCAAAATATTTTTTCCTGTCTTTTAGATCATACAGATTATAAATCACTTGGTTTTAAGAGTTGAAAATGGTTATTTTGCATTATGCATCTCATTAGATATTTGTATAAATGTATAAATGTATACTACAACGTTTCTGCAATTGAGTGTATATATATATTTAACAACAACAACAACAATATATATATATACAGCCATTTGCAAAAATTATGGCCGCTTCCAATATGTATACAAGTATATCAAAAGCATATCAAATGTTATGGGATAGCCTCCATTATATATTTTTTGAGTTGTCTATCATTAGGGCTTTCTGAAAAAAATATCAAGAAAGATATCCCGCCCTGTCTGATATACTTTCGATATACTTGTATTTATATTTGAAACGGCCATAATTTTTGCAAATGGCTGTATACAGCGATATACTTAAATACTGTTTTACAGCACTTTTCAATTACATGCGCAGAAACATGAAAAAATTTTAGAGACATAATAGAGTTTTGGTGGATGCCAATCAAAGTGTTTCCCAGCATTGTCAGAAAACACAAAGCTTTTAAGGGTACGTGCCTATGGAATGTCATGGAAATGCATTGATTGACGTCCACCAAAACCTTATTCGTCATGATGGCAAATTGTACGATTTCACACGTGTGATTTAGAAGCGCTGTAAATATGACAAAAATCGGAAAGCATCCCATTGACCTCACTCAATGGCTGAATGGTTAAGTTTAGGGTCAGGGTTGGGATAGGCATCGTAATGCATTTGAAGCCAAGGGTGCCAAGTTCTTGCCTGCCATTGAATTCTTTTTTTTTTCTAAGTGAGGAGAACAAAAATCCCACACTATTTAAATATCCGTACGAATAGAAATATTGCAAGTTGGCGTACGTTTACCATGGAATAGCCTCTGCCGTATTGAAAATTATATAGAAAACTGATTGATATTATTAAAGAGTTTCATCGAAAGCTCATGAAAATAAAACAAAATCCTTAAGACGATTGATTACAATTTTCAGCATTACCCTATATACATGTACATAAATTAAAAACAAACCCAAACAGTGGGGAACATATAAAAGATCATTTTAATAAGTCGAGAAACACACCCAGTCTACATACATCGCCACTCATATCACCTTTACACTTTGAGTTTTCAGAAAAGCTACGACAAGATAAAACGAAGATAAGCAAATTTAAAACATTAGAAAGACTGATCACAAATTTGCAAACCTTATGATATCGTCGTTATGGCCAAGGAAAAACCTTTGAGTATTCTCTCTCGTGTTGTACACTACTCCAACCCCCGCAACAAAATACACAATCTCGCTGTTGGATGTGTAGTACAGATTGTTCCTACATTGATGTYCACGGTAGCCGTAGACCCATTCTAACCGTAGCTGGGATCTAGGCGCTGTTCTGTCTGTCATTGTGGTTTAGAAAGAAGTCCAAACCTTCATTACAAACAACCCGCCAAAAAGGAATCGGGTTTCCACCTCGAGCATGTTCCTGTCAAAATACACAAAAGATACGAGAGAGCCTGGTAACCAATTGAGAGTTTCGTTAAATTACTCATATTAAAAAGTTTTCATAATTCTTATTCGAAAAGTAATCATATTATYATTTGAAACGTGCTTAACCTTTTTAAGGGAAAACAAGAAAATAAATACATACATAGTGATGTGTCTTTAAACGTATGTTATTTATTATTACTTGTGCTGGGTTTCCTGTGTTTAATTGTGATTGGATCTAGCATATGGCGGTAATATAAGCACTAAGTAAGTTTTGATTGGTCAATGAGCTCATTATCGATTGAGTGCATATGATACGCATGCGTGTAAGGATGATAACAAACAGTACAAGAAGATGGCGACAGGTTACTGTCTTAGGAAAACCGTTCCAGTTGGAGGGAAAGGGGATCCTGTTTGCCCCAATACTATTCTTCTAGTTCCCGACAAACTTATTACATTTGGTAGAGTTGTAGTTTCTGGTGAAGCAAACGTTCGCTTGCAATCTAAGATCGCGCCGTTGATGATATCTCGCAAACACGCAACTATCTCTTGCTCTTCAGGCAAGTGGAGTGTAGTTGATCATGAGGTAAGGCAGCGAGTCCATAGATGTGTCGAAAAACTATCACTTTCCTCATTTTAATTGATTTTTAACATTTCTAGACCTATTGATAGCAGTAAAAGTCCAGTAACAGTATCACAGTTTAGGACTAATATACTTTTTTTAACGAACTGGAACTCGGAGCGTGGCGCTTGCTTCAAATTTGAACAAATACACAGTTTTTTTGTCGAATAACATTGTATCTCGATTTTTTTCATTTCTAAATCATCAAATATAATTACAAAACTTTTTATAATTTGTAAGCTTTTTTTTTTAACGTTTAAGGAACTACAGATTGTTTTAGTTGGTCTATGGAGCGGGCTATGGGGTTAGCATATTTTAATCCCTTTAAAACTACCAAACTGGTTTTACCTTGTTTTTGTGCTGATAAATATTCATAACGAATTGTTTACATCTAGTCAGCTGACCAGCTTTTAGATCTATATTCAGCGCATAAAACGCAATTGGAAGCTAGTTTGGTTTGTGTACCTGCAATGGTTCATAAATGCAAGTGAAATTTCGTGGCCTTGCTTACATGTTATAAGCTAAATCCTGATGTGGAAGTTAGAAATCTAGTGTGATGTATACCAGGTATGGGAGAAATCGCAGTTTTAAATGTAGTACAAAGTAAAGAAAAAAATATGCTAATTTTCTTTTCAAATTCATCTCTGACTATGTACATCAATATAAAATGAGTGTTATCTGCTGCAATAATATTTAACATGGCACTTATATTTTTTCAAGACATTGTCTTATGAAATGTTTACTAGTAAGTAGTGCTAGAAACAAAATTATGTTTTCCCTCTAAATAAAAACTGTTTCTTTAGAGCTTAAGAATCCAATGGTTTTTTTTCTCACATTAAATGTGGTAGAAATAAGCTTAACTTTGCATATTCATTAGTTATTTTGCCAACAAAATTATTGTTGTTCCTTGCTATAAATGGAAAAAAATATTTTAAATAACCTTGTCTTTTTTTTTTCTTTTAGAAAATTATACTTTTGTTGTCTTTTACATAAAAAATCCTTTTAACAATAATTTATTTTTATTCATAAAGTTCTGAATGTCTCACTTAGCCCTTTCAAGTTGCTTTGCACTGACAATAAAAAAATCTCATGAAGCTCATATACTAATAAGGCTTTAACTTTCGAAAAGAATGTAAAGCTAGCAGATTAGAAAAATCCATAATATTAATGCATTTATTACCACTAATTTTATGTTGTTAGCAGTGAACAGTTTGGTATCATGTATACATACATGTTCATTATATACTTTGCATTATATAATATTCATATTATGTAAACCTGTTACTTTTCTTTGGACAACTATATTGTATGCTTGTGTACGCAAAAGGACCTGCCGTGGATATGGGATGTATCAAATTRCATTTACATGTATACTATCATAATTGGACTTGTTCCTTCGACCATTAATTATGTTGATGACAGAGCTTTTGGGCCCATGGCTCATTCATATGATTTGGTCTATACCTGAAAGCCTGAATTTGCAATCCTGAATAAATACACAGAAGTCACCAAAAATTAACATTATACAATGAAAGCTTATGTCCTCTATGCCCTACATGGTCTGTTTTCACACTAGGTATTGAAACTAGACTAATAGGCAAAAGTCCGCCCCATCMGTGCAGCTCTGATATGTTAAAGTTTAAGCTTGCAGTATACTTAAATTTGAGCAAGTTATCGGCTTTTGAATTTTGCCTTATCTCTCATACTGGTAACTTAAATATGAGCTAATGTGACAATGTATTGACAAAACATTAATGCTCTCGACACCATTTAACATTTTATTATTTTGAAATTAATTGTTTGGTATCCATATTGTTAAACTTTACTAAGTCTACTCTCCATGAAAAAAGGCCTATTTAATTAAATAAACAAAAATAGAGAGACAGAGCAACCTGCCAACCTTTATTTCCTTTTAAAAGTTTGAGAGATGAGGTGAAATTCAAAAGACCATAATTAAATACCTTCCTATTGCAAAATACCTGCAAATCGAAAAAATATATTTAATTTTGTTACTCTCCAAAAGCCAAATGCAGCCATTTTGAATCCAGCTGAGCACTGAATTTTGTTTAAGCCAATCACAGTGCATTTCCAAACTTTGTCTGCAGGTTTTTCTGCTATAATTTTATTCTGTGCTGACATTATTATTTTGTATAGATATGATATAATTTTTGGAATAAATTTGAACAACTGGGTTTTCAAAGTGTTCAGAATTGCCTAAGCCATAATGCGATTGAAATTTGAGCTCTTAAAAACCCCAGTTTTCAAATTTATTTTAAATTGCATGAGAAAACCATATAATTTCCTTTTAATAAAATACACGAAAAATTTAAAAGAGTATTTTAATGAAAAGAGAGCAAACTGAGATAAAACTGAGTGTGTGCTCAATGAAGTTATCATAGTATCGTAGCATGAGCTTTTCAACCAAAATTGTATTTAAAGCCAAAGAAATCTTTATCTTTTTTTAGCATTTTCTCCATCATAATATGAAAAATATGAACATTAAAAAATACAAAGTTTTTAATACGCTTAGTGATGTTAACAACTGCAGTAGAATTGATAAAAGCTTGATTTTGAAACCAATTTATCACACACCTCTGAAAATACATAGTAGACATTTTGTCAATAAATTTAAAACAGTTTTTGCCTAAAGGGAAGAAAGAGTGGAATATTGCCCAATACGAAAAAAAATTCTGGCTTTCCTTTATTGACTGGCTGTATTTCCAACATCTAGGGAAGTGTTTTAGGATTATCTTGCTATAATCATCAAAGTTGCAGCTTACCATCRTGTTAAGTGATTCACAGCTTTTATTTACTAGGATAATGCTATAAATAATACATTAATAGTATTATTGTAATAATACCATGATCACCTCCCTCCCTCCCTCATGAATGACATGAAGGAAATTTAGAAACTAAATATCCCTCATGTTATTCATGAGAGGTTGTCCCTCATGTAACGTAATCATCGGGACACAGAGTCTAAAATGACCCRGTTCGAAATCAGATGCATTTTTAATGRGGATGTATACCACCCTGTCACAGGCTTTATTCAATGTGGGATAGAGAAATTGGTCTTAGAGTCGGATTCTACACGCTAGGAAAAACTTTGCGCATGCGTTATAATGGACTAAAATTACCAACTTGTTACAATCTAATGTTTTACACAAATGCTAATTTTCTAAGTGCAAGGGCAGCCTTCACGCATGCGCAAAGCCATTTTGAAACAAAAAGCAAGAAGTTAACGTTTATTCAACCACTTTATTGATTTTTCACACGTCTTATTTAGAACTACTGATTGTAATAATAAATGTTTAATTTTTCCAATTGAACGTGTCTTTTAGTGTTCTCTGGAACTGTAGTTTCTCTAACACTCTCGACTTCAGCGTCTTTTAAAAAGCTAAAACGACCTTCCGCCATTCTGGTCAAGTTGTAGTAAAGCAAAAATTTATTCCTTAATTTATGTGTTTTCTGTGTTGACAAAAAGACATTCCAATGAGAGTTCTTAAACAAATTATTATGTCATTGAAGTAGTTTTAAGAAAACATTTAAAATTTTAATTAGCATTTTGCTAACCAAACACTCTCTTACTTGTGCTTCCAAGATTAATCATTCAGTCAAAGTTCTTTAAACAATGAATTTTGATTTAGTTGGCTAGAATTAAGTAGGCCTTAGTATGCTACCAATTTGCCAAATATTTTGCCAATGTTTACACGGATAAAACAAAAACATGAGGTACAAAGTTTTATATCTCCCTTGAGACGATAAATCAGATAGATGGATTAGACAGTTTGATAGCAACTTATTAGTATTCAAGTTCACTAAGTTTTTGACAATTCGTTTTCTTTAATTTCCTCGGAAATCATGGTATTACAAACTAATACCATGGTAATTTCAGGATATTAGTGATAAAATGTCCCCTCTGCCTCGGGAGGTTTAGTAAAAGTCCCTTGGCCTACGGCCTCGGGCCTTCCACTATACCTCCCTCAGCTTCGGGGACATTTAATCACTAATATCCCTCATTGCCATGGYATTACTYATAATAAATAAATTTGTAGATATCTTAGGCTTTTCTTTAATTGATTCCAATGCATATTAAAATGGTACTAAGATAATATTGAAAGCTTTCTTTAAGAACAACTCAGCTGCATAAACAGATCTTACAAGTCTTGTCTTTTGTTTCAGAGTCTGAATGGAGTGTTTGTGAATAACAACAAGGTGCAAGGCAATACCCCATATGAGCTTCAAATAGGTGATAAAATAGTGTTTGGTGTGGCAATTGATTCAAATCCACCTGAATTTGAATATACATTTGATGCAATGCCCAAGGTCAAGAAAAGAGTAGCAGATGTTCAGCCATCCTGTAGCAAGGATTCTAAGCAAAGGAAGGTGCTGTCAGAAAGTGGTACTAATGTTCAACAGCCTGGAAGTAGCAGAAATTCTGATTGTGATTTATCACACACTGAGGATAAGATAAAAGCTGCAGAGGAACGGATAGAAAAATTGAAAGTTTCTTTGCATGAAAAAGAAAAACAGTTAGAAATGGCTGAGAAGGCTATGGAAAGCAAATTGTTGGAACAGAAAGCTGATCTTGAGAAAGAAAAGTTACAGCTCGAAAAGAGTCTTAAGGAATTGTTAACAAGCACCCTCAGAGAAAAAGAGGAATGTTTGGGTCAACAGTTAGCAACTCAGAAGGCTATTTTGATAAAAGAGAAAGAAAAAGTAGAAGAAAGTTTGCAAAGAGAGCTCAACAGAAAGCTGGAACAAAAGGATAAAGAACTTGAAGAAAGACTTGTAAAGGAGAAAGCAGCTTTAGAACAAGTTATATCCGAGAAAGAACTGCAACAGGTGAAYCTTCAGATAGAACTCGAAGAATACAAGGATGTTGTTGAAAGACTGAAATATGTGGAAGCTAATGAAAGAAAATTGGCAACAAATTTAGAAGAGTTGAAAAATATTGTACAACAGAAAGAAGAGGAATTAAAGCATCAGCAAGAAGTAACTAGAAGAGCTCAAGAGACTGCTCGCAAGACCGTTGTGGAAGAAATGGAAGATGAATTCTCTTGTATAATTTGTCATGAACTGTTCATTCGTGCAACTACTCTGGCATGCTCTCATTCTTTTTGTGAGCACTGTCTATATTCGTGGTTACAGAAGAGAAACTCCTGCCCAGTTTGTCGCTGTCCAGTTCAGGCACAACCAGTGCACTCAATTGTTCTGGACAATGCTATTGCTAAAATGGTAGAGGCATTAGACGATGATACCCAGAGCAGGAGGAAGGCTTTATTACAAGAAAGGGCAGAAAAAGGCAAAGGTAATTATTTGCCTTGCTTCGTAGTGGTTGTTGACTAAACCACTATTRTATAACCTTATACAAGTTGTCCACCGATTTGCAACCCCAACGATGAAGTTTTTTAGTCATTGAAATTGTGATATGGTCGCCTAGCTGTGAATTATATGGCTCCATCCTCGGATTAAATAATTATTTTAAGAATTGCCAAAACTACATTTCTCGAGAAATTAAAGTTTCTGTACTACTTGTCTGACGATTGTTTGCATCCGAAACCTAAAAAAAGGATGCTTCATAGTACTAAAGCAAGTGAAGAAATGTTTTTGGAGTCCAAATTTTCCTACACGAGGTAGGGTGAAGGCTAGATAACCATTCGTCTGCTCTTAAATGCAATTTATATCGCCGAATTAAGCCATGTGTTACCGTGGCCGAAACTGCTACAAATTAAGTACTGACTAAGTATGTTCTATCTAATATTGACAAGGGAGATTACTGTCACGTGGTGAATTTGCCCAGAAAAGATGGATTATTATCCTTATTCGATCATGCTGCAGAAAAGGATGAATTCATATTTTTTAAGAAACATGCAGAGTAGTTCAGTAACGATTTTTTAAATGACAGATATCATTTTTTAATGTTGGACATCGATATTACCAAACGCTCATACCGCATATAAGTTTGTTTGGAGTAAAGTATGCGTGCGACCTTTTAGTATAACATAGGAAATATAGATCTATTGAATAGTAGCTATTTTGAGACTAGGTTAGTCTCTCCTTAGTTGGTACTATACTTTAGTGGTTAAATCGTATTTGCAAAAGACTACTCACTTTTAACTAGTATGATAACAGGCCAGAGGTGTTGTCATAAATATTGCTGTGCAATATGTATCGTTTTCATATAAACCTACGAGCAATTTTTATTTGCAAGCATTCTATTCTGCATGTTCCTTTCGTGAAAAATTAAAGAGATCAGCGTGAATAGAAGAATGAAAAGAATTTACTAGTGAAGGTGCAATACTGCTGCGATCAAAATCAAACGAGCACCAGAATAAAGAGAAGAAAGTATTTCAGTGCTCATTAAGTAAAACACTCATTTCACATTTGTTGGTTCGAATAAAAGAAATAACTTTGTCGTTAATAAACCTTTATTATTAATAATTTGCTATGCACGTAATTCCTGCGACAAGCTAAGTCTAATCCTAGCTCGATATATTTCTTTCAGGGGTACTATATAGGTAAGTCAGTGTACTCACACTTAATTCTTAATTCTATCATTAACTGATAGTTTTCTGGAATCATTTCAATCTTACAGTCAGGGTAGATGAGTTTGATAGGCCCCCTGAACGACTTGTCGAGGGATTTCTTGTTACAAAACAGTTGAAAAATCCTTGGTACAAAATCGCGTTGATGAATTGTCTATCAGACTTTATCTGCTTCTGTTTTTCTTTTTTTTTTCTTCTTTCACTTCGCATCCTTTTCTCATGTTTTCACAATCGGAGCTACAAGGATAGACTATTTTCGATATATCTACCAAAATGAATGGAAATACTGATCCATGGGTTGTGCAAGAAATAAATCGGGCAGTAACATCGTAGATTGGCACAGGGTAAGTTTAAAATAGTACGGGCTACCTCGTTTTAACTTGTTCGCAATCTTTTAGTACTGGCAGTGAAAGACTTTAAATGCTGTGCAGGCTTGACATGAGTTTCATTATTGATAAATTGGTATTTCTCCATTGTTGGGAATGTTTCTTCTAAGTGCTGAACTTTGTGTATTAAAAAGGTTGTCGACACCGACATTCATCGTAAATGTGATTCGTGTACTAGTAGTTCACATTGACTTTGCGTAAATTAAGTTTTTAGTTTGCCATTTATCGTTTTATTTACGCCATAACAAACAAAGTAAGAAAACGCTCAAAATCGTTTTGAGAATGGCAAACTTTTCTGAACGTTTGTTCATAGTTTCAGCAATAAATGACAATGTTTGATAAAGAGCAATAAGGGAATAGAATAGAATCATTTACGTATTGAGATTACTCCTGGGTTTTGGCACTAGATTGTATTGYTTACGCCTTACGCTGTCCGTTTATTTATTTAACCACAGTAAACTCATCAGGATTTTACAAAGAAATACTAAGTAAATCAGTCTTAAAACTATTACTAAATCTATACTATAATTTAAAACTGCTAAATCTATTAAATAATGTGCTATAAAAAAATTAAACACCACCTGCTTTCCATGAGTACTGTGCAAATTAAGGCTGTTCCATAACACCGCACCACTGTACCAAAAACTGTTTTTAAGGTAGTTAGTGCGGGATTTAGGAATTGCTAGGTTGTTCTCCGTGTTTCTCAGAGAATAGCTCGTATACGCTGCTACCATCTACAAACATGGATCGCAAATACTCGGGAGCAAGGTCACGTAGTGATTTGTAGATCATAACTAGTTTTTGAAATTTACGCTTGGATTCAAGCTTTATCCAGCCAAACTTTTCAAAGAGGTAATCAGCATTAGTGTCATAGTTTGAAGACGTTAATGCGCTTTGTGGTTCTCTGCTAGCTGAATCTCCCACGTTGGAGATTCTTGCAGGAGACTGATAGCAGGAAAGACTTGTGGACGTTGGGTTTGTTTCTTTTTTATATCTTGTCTGGGTTTTTGTTGTTGTTGTTGTTGTTGTTGTTTGTTTGTTTGTTTTTGTTTTGTTTTGTTTTTGTTATTTTTAAATAAAATACATATTCCTCTTCATTGGCTGTTTTTCAGTTAAATTTATTCTTTTACTTCTGGCTTCTGCCTTTATTTGCTTTTTTTTTTCCAATAACAAAAGTAAAACTATACTCGTCTGTATACCATGCACAAATGGTAACCAGGGGGTTCTGGAGAATTTGATTATGAATTCTGGAATGCATAACATCTTGATCAATCGATCAGTCATTGACCGTGGCTGTATTCCCTTAAGAGCTGATCAATTTCTGGTTGCCACACTATCTAGCTGATGTGGTTACATAGGAGGATCCCACTYGTATCAACAGTAATGACAGCTTTAACATAGATACACTAATAATTTAATTCCATTGTGTAGATCTACAAGTGATTATCCCTAATCCAGTGACATACGTGCAGCGCACAGCTGATCATCACCCTTCGCACCATGAACCTACCAGCCGACAGGTCTCTAGGCATGAAGACATACAGTTTGAACCGAGACGTGTTCAAGCCCCAGTACGGCGACATGATTATTATAGGTACAGCAATGCAAATACCTATAATGGCAGTACTACTAGCTACAGTGACAACAGGAATCAATACAACTATCCCCAGAGAGCACAATACAACAGAGTATACAACGTAGTCTGCTTTGCATGTGGTGAGCAAATATTATCTAATTATTTAGTCTATTAGGGTATGCTGCTCTGTGCATTGTTAGACTAGTGAACCTGGCGCTTTATGCTGCATATATAAACGCCCCATTAGCTAGACAGATAATACTCCAATGAGAAAATTCGAGCACATTTTGGACTAGGTAGTTGATGCGGATACTTTTAAAAATGGTGTAGAATCTGTTGCCTCTCTTTGGTAACGGCAAGGGCTTGCTATTGAAAATCAGGCGTTCACATATACAGTCAATTCAAAAAACGTTGTCGTCGACCGGCTCAAGCCTACGCGACTGGACCGAAAGAAATATGGGTAAAAATCACTGAAGCGGTTTAAATATTCGTTCTGAATAAATTGTTCCCGCTAGTAATAAGATAATAATGGCAAGAAACAATACATCAAATGCATGTCTTTGGGTTTGGGAAAGAAAAACAAGGTAGTTATGATTCAGTTCACAATTTCGAAAATAT